TTTGATTATTGGCAACTTTGAAGCTCTAATGTCCTGTCACCAGGTTGTTAGATCCGTTACTAGGTATGTGATCTCCGGAGTCAGCACACTCCTCCTGTATGGATTCAGCTCAGGCGCCAAGGTAGCCACCAAGTGTGTGGTGTAAGCTCTCACTTACAGTCCTAGACAGGCATGGGTGATTGGTGTAGGCACAGGCATCTGGCTGCGGCAGGGGGACACACTCTGAGCAAGGCAGGGGGCTGATGACCACCTGCAAGTGTCCAGGAGGAAGGCTTGTCCCTGTTCCCTAGAGCATGTAGGTGGGTGGGTTTTGTAGCTGGACTCTGAGGACCTAAATGCTGTTGGCTGTAAGTACTGGGGGGCACCTCTTATTCATGGGCCCCTATTGCAGGTGGCTAGGTGGCGTGGGTGGAGCCACCAGTCCTCAGGCCCCTGATGTGGGTAGGCGAAGACTTTGCTTAATGGCCAGAGTGTGTCAAATGTCAAGAACCTGCCACTTCACAGCTGAAACAGTTGAAGTTAGAGTTCTGGTATATACCCTGTTGTACTGCAGTAATGAGGGCCTATGCTGTTCAAATGGGCCTACGCAAGTCTATGCAAGGGGAAAGGCACTCAAAGTCCATGGATCCCTTATGCCTGTGCCTGGGCAAAGAGCTGTGCCTACCCTGGGTTCTTGGCTTAGGGGAGCTGGCAGTTTATTTTTTCCCGTTTGTTAATTTGTTCACTCTACAAGGTAGGGAGAACGGCTCCGGGCGTGTGACGGATCCTACTTATGGCCCAGGCGGACTCAGCAATTGCTGAAGGTGGTCTAGGGCTCAGTGCAGAGCAGGGAGCGGGGAGGTAAATGGGAGAGAGGTTCTTCCCTAAGGGGGTGTTTTTGATCCATGTGTTAAGCTGTATGCAAGTACTTATCTTTCGCCGATGAGGGCTGCTTCTCACTGGTTCTGGGTGGCCGTGTAGACTCTCTGGTGCTAGGTCTCTCTCAGTGTGGAAAATGCACCTCATGAGCACCACCGCTTGCCTGCCTCACCGCTCACCCATGAGCTGCTCAGGCCTGATGGGCTCAGGCTCTCACCAGGTGAGGTCTGGCAGCTCCTCGCTGCTTCCAAACCATCTCTCCCTCCCCCTGCCACTCAGTCTGGTTCCTGAACTCTGCCTTTGATGTCAGGGCTCCCAGACTGCCATATATAATCAAATCACTTGTTTTTTTGGGTCTTTGTTGTAAGCAGGTCCACTGGAAGCATCTGATTCCTTTGCCATCTTGGCCCCGCCTCCTCTTCTTTTTTTTTAAATATAGTGGAAGTATGCACAACAAAACATTCTCCATTGTAACAATTTCTGCATGTATATTTCAATGTCATTGATTACATTCTTCATATTGTGCAACCATTCTTGCTATCCTTTTCCACATTATTCCATCACCATTAACATAAACTCAATGCCTCATAAGAAAAAACTTTCCCATGCCCCTCTCCCTGCCACCCCTGGTAACCATGAGTAATCTTTGTTTTCTGTATGTTTGCTTATTTCATATAGGTGAGGTCATACAGTATTGGCCCTTATTATTTGGGTCACCATGATGTTTTCAGGGTTCATCCATGTTGTGGCATGCACCAGGACTTCATTCTTCTTTATGGCTGCATAATATTCCATTGTATATATATTACATTTTGTTTGTTAATTCATTTATTTACGGACACTGCTCAAAGGTGTTTTTTCCCAAATTCCATGTGAAAGTGATGTCAAACATGACACTTTCTGAGACCCCCAAAAAGAAGAATGATTTGGTCTGAATCTGTGTTGTTAAGTTTGACCACCTAACTCAGAAACATTATGAAGACAATAAACAGAACAATTAAAAAGAAAATCAGAGCTAGAACAGGAACAGGCCAGGAAAGGTACAGGTTTTGTAGGGCCTGAAGTTTATGCAAGAGCTTCTTTCAGTAAAAGCTACATTTTGAACACAAAATTGCTAGGGGCCCTCCTATGGTAAATATGCCCGGGAACAATAGTATATGGAACATTAAGAAGTTTTTGGTTTACAAATGTGATCGAGCTACATACCATCCAGTTGTTTTCATTTTTTTCCTGGCGGTAGGCAACATCATGAAGTAGGTCTTTTACATAAATCTTTTTCAAGTGTGATGTATTAAATGTCACTAAAAAATCATTTGCTCCCTCCCGATAGACGACTCTTAAGTCAAACGGAGGCTCGGGCTTAACTGGAAAGAGAAACAAAATGAAGTCAGTCTCTACGACAGTCAACAAAGTAATAATTTTTAAAATCTATCTGCTCTGAAAATCACATTTCCTCTCTGCGGTAGTAACCATTTCTTCTCTTCCTGGGTTCAAAGCCAGACTACACTTCCCAGCATCCCTTGCAGTTAGGTGTGGCCTTGTGATAAACGTGAGCAGAAGTGATGTACACACAGCACCTCTACTCCTGGCCCACAGATCCTCCGTGTGTGACTCCGATCTTTTTTCTTCTTCCACAATTTAGAGTCATATGTTGAAGATGGAAGAGCCACAGGATGGAAGAGCCCTGAATATTGTTTAGAGGAGAACCATCCACAGGTTAGGAGCACCCATTTTTGCTCTTATGTGAGTAAGGAATAAATTTATTGTTTTTGAGATATTACATGTTTTGGGGCTTATTGTTACATACAGCTGCTAGTGTTACACTAGAACACATTTTCTTTGCCTTTTGAATACTAGAGAACTTGTTACTAACTGGCTCCAGAGCAAGGGCATTTAAATTTTAACCAGTTGAGGTCGAGTTGATTCTGACTCATGGCAACCCAATGCGTGTCAGAGTAGAACTGTGCTCCATTGGGTTTTCAGTGACTGATTTTTTGGAAGCGGATCGCCAGTCCTCTGGATGGACTTGAACCTCCAACCTTTTGGTTAGCTGCCAAGCGTGTTAACCATTTCCACCACCCAGGGACTCCATTTAAACTCTGAGTCTTCATTATTCCAATAAAAATGGGATATGCTAGGGGGTCTTGCACCTCATTTAATCAACACAGAAGTTGAGGATCTGCATCCTTGCCCTGGCTCGTAAATTACAGACTGACATCAAGCCACCCTCTCTCTCAGTCTTGTCTGCAAAACCAAAAAAGCCAAACCCACTGCTGTCGAGTCAACTCTGACTCATAATGACCCTATAGGACAGAGTAGAACTGCCCCATAGGGTCTCCAAGGGTGTAAATCTTTACGGAAGCAGGCTGCCACATCTTTCTCCCACAGAGCGGTAGCGTTCGAACAGCTGACCTTCCGGTTAGCAGTCGAGCTCTTTAACCACTGCATCACCAGGGCTCCTGGTTTGTTTGCATTAACTCTAAACTCCAGTCTGGCTTTCTTATGTTGGCCTGTGTCACAACATTGCTGTTAGGATCAAATGCGCCTGATATGAAATGCTTCTGGAAGGAGGTAGGTATAATTTGTAGTAGAACAAACCCTGAGAAAGGTTTGAATTCCTAGAAGAGCATCTGTGTTCAGGCTGCCTACCCCACATTGGCCTGCGGCTTCCCTGTCCTGGCCTTTTTGCTGCTCTTTCACCATAGCCTGGGAAGCTAGTGGTCTAGCGATGAGGTGGCTACCATTTGTGCATGACTAATGTCAGGCAGACTCATAGAGACCCTACAGGACCGAGTATGATTTCCCCAGATGGTTTCCTACGCTGAAATCTTTACGGGAGCAGATTGCCAAGTCTTTTCTGCTATAGAGTGGTTGATGGATTCAAACCGACGACCTTTAGGTCACTACGAGTGGGAATTGAATCGATGGCCCACAATAACTACAACAACAACACTGTCAGGCAGAGACAGGGGAACACGTAGGTTAAAATCTAACCTAAACTTGGTGCTAATGAGAGCATGTATGTTTATAAAACGTACTCTCAGTAGACTGAGCTGGATTCCAGGCTGTCTGAGCTGGGTTTGTAGACTCACCTGCAGACCCAGTAAAATGAAACCCGTGGGGGAGCCCAGTTATTGTAGGCTCTTATTCATAGTGGAGAAAGCCTAAGTTTCTCCTTCATTGCCCTAGAGGTACTGAAAAAGGGGAAGTGGCTCTTTCTTACCCTTGGATGTCTTATAAAAGGGGAAGTTCATCCTTTTTTACCCTTAGATGCACTATAAAGAAGAAGCTTCGCTAGACAGAAGCAGGAGGAAGGGAGCAGGGGCAGAGAAACAGATCAACAGGGAGAACACTGCCCGTCCTGTTACTCCTCCCAAGCCAGTTCCTATCCTTCGTTTAAGGAAATACTTAAGATTCATATTCTCAATAAAACCTTCTCAGGCTCAATCCCCTGTTCCATCCCATCCTCCAAAGACTTTCAAATGCAGGAATTCATGTAAGAACAGAACTAATATTGGTTACACTCCTCCAAAATGTCAAGTGCTTTGCTTATGTCATTTAAAACAATATACAGTCTTGGACCGTATAACGTCCATTCGGGCAACGTCCAACTGCATATATGTCCATCGTCCCATAAGTTCAGAATTCTCAATCGGAGAACAGGACTTAGTGGATGTAGGGAACACTCAACAGCTTCCCTCAAGCAACACGTATATTCATATCTCTCGTATACAAAGCGATTGTGCTGCCAGGCGCCCGTTTGTTATTATGAACCATTGTAACTACCTCAAATTTTTAATATAATAGGCTTTACGGGGTTGGTTTGTAAGTACAGGCTGTACATAAGTTGGACGTTCAAAACCTGGGGACTGCCTGTGTGGTATCGGCATAATGTCCAAATCACAGAACATATCGTGGATGATAGGTGACACATAACTGTAATGACTTTTCTCCACTCCACTGATTAGGAAGCTGAGTCTCAGAGAAGTTAATTAAGTTCAGGGTGTTGATGTTGTGGTTGCATTTCCTCCAGTAGATTCCAACTCACAGCGACTCTATAGGACAGAGTAGAACTGCCTCATAGAGTTTACTAGACTATAATCTTTATGGGAGCGGATCACTGGGTCTTTTCTCCTGCGGAGCCAGTGTGAGTTCGAACCTCTGACTTTTCAGTTAGCAGTTGAGTGTCTAACCATAACCCCATCAGGTCTCCTTTTCAGTGGAGCTCAGGCCCCTCTAAAATGATTTAACTCGTAACCAGTTGCAGTCAAGACATTCTGACTCATGGTGCCCCACGTGTGTCCGAATAGAACTGTGCTCCATAGAGATTTCATGGCAGTAGCCTTTCAGAAGGAGATCATCAGGCCTCTCTTTTGAGGTGCCTCTAGGTGGACTTGACCCTCCAATCTTTCAGTTAGCAGTGTTACGAGTTAACCATTTGCACCACCCAGGGACTCCATAAAATGGTTTACAGGATTTAAATCCAATTCTGTCTGATTCTGAGGCTTATTCTCCTTCATTTAGCTTTTGCTTCTACATTTCGTTATCCTATACCTGCTTATCTGGCTATTCCAAAACAGGATGGTCTGTAGCCCAAATGGTATTGTTGAGGAAATCAGAAATAGGTGCCCATTCCTCGAGTAACATTTTTAAAAGTCCATATATTGTTACACAATCTGAAGAGTTTTGTTGCTCTCCCTGCTAGGAACAGTGGGAAAACAGGAAGTTGCCCCCTCCAGCCTTACTGGGGACTCACTCCTAAAGACGATGAGGTGTCAGGGAGCTCTGGTTCTGGGATTCAATCAGGAGGATCCAACTGAAATTTAATTAAATGGCAGTTCCATTAATCAAATGTTACATTAGGAATCAGGAGAAGATGTTGCTATGAGACCACGTCTCCACCACCCTCATCCTTCTTGCTCCAACCGCCCACCACCCAGTGCTTTCTAAAGCCCCTAGGGGCTCACACCACCCCTTTCACTTCCATATGCTACTGTTTGTGTTCATACTCTCCTTTCCTCCCTGCTGCTCACGTGAGGCATGTCAGGTTTGCACTGTGCTAAGGGTGCAGAATTTGGGCTTCTAAGAGCATTGGGCAGGTGAGATCTGGGGACTTGGATGGGGTAGGGTGTTACCTGGAGCCTATACGTGTGCCATGAGCATTCACATGCTAACTCTCTTTTAATTATGCTGCTGTAGACTTCAGTAGGATAGAGGCTGTCCTCTGCTAATCCAGGACTCTGTCAGAGGCCTGAGAATCTACCGTCTCTGTCCGCTGTCAGAGAAGTGAATATGTATTTGTGATGTAAATGGTGAACACTTAGGTATGTTGTCCTTGTGCAGGGCACAATCTGAACAACCACCAATTGCAGCCTAGTCTCCAAATGACCAAATCCCAGCTTGCTCATATTCCTTACTCAGAGATACCTTATTGTTGCCATCTCCAACTTAGACAGCACTCACACTGGCGGTGGTCAGTGTTGTGTGGCCAGCATGCACGGCTCTTTGTCTAATATCTTTTCCACTACCTCTGCTTTTCTACGAGGTAATTCTTCACACACGAAACTTCTGCTTTTACCCTTATTTTACTATCTCAGTGAAACAAAGTTGAGGCTAGACTCTAGATTCTCTAGATTCTCATGTCTGTCTTGTCTCTAATGAGTGTTGCTCTCTTATCATTGATTTTCTTTTTGAGAGACAGGCGGTTGGGCAGTAGGAAGAGAGACTATTATAATATTTAAAACCAGTAAAAGAATGGATCTCTGCTATTACTTTGAACAGTTTTTCCCCTTATATATATTGTTTTACTTGTAAATCTCCATAGGTAGAACAAATACAAATAGTATTACATTGCACTGATATATTATAATTGGCTTAGACATTTCCTTATAACAGGGTATCTCTGAGATTTTAAAAAATAACCTTATTCACTTCAGGGTCATAAATCTGTATTAGGAAAAAAAACTTTATGTCTATAGTCCCAACTTTGCTGATTATTTTGATTTGTTTGCCTAGTAACCAAATGGTGACCTGATAATTAATATTGACTCATAACCATGAGTCAGAATCAACTCGATAGCAGTGGGTTTGAGGATTTTTGTTGTTGTTGTTAATAACGAGGTAGCTGAATGGATTTTCTGATTTATATCATTTGTATCATTCTGTATATGGGTATTATGTAAATCCAAAGGACTATGTAGTAATTACAATTGTACCTGAGATGTAATTGTTATCATTTTTTTTTTTTTTGGCAAAGTTTAATGTGTGTATTCTTTGCCAAATCCAAATCAGATTTGCTCCGTGCATCACTCCCCAGTAATAAGGCTCATAAGAACGCATATTTAGTTCTTAAAATAACTTGATAATTTAGCTAAACACACTCAGAATAGGATGGAGATATGGGGAGAAGACTGCAAAGAGCCAGGAGAAGACTGCGTCAGGAAGGAAATGCTCTATGTGGGCAGATGACAGCAGGCCCAGCTCCATTTAGGCTCCTCATACAGGTTAGTTTTTGCTGCAGTTTGTAACTGCTATTCCACCCTCTCCCATAGCTGAGTCTGGGGAGTCGCAGAATGCTCTCACATCAGAATCTGTAGCATAAGTTTCAAATTTTTCATTTTTTTAAAAAATTATTTCCATTAGACAATTTGGTATTATTTATTGCATATTGTTCCCATGATTTGTCTACTTTCAACATACAGGAAGTCCAGACACAGTGCCTTTAGATATCTAAAAACCCAACAATGGCAACCACATCCCCACATACAACTTCTTACCTATCTTGACTATGTTCATTATTTTGCAAGTTATGCTCTTCTGTCCAAGTTTCACACATATTTCGCTGTCGCCAATCAGTAAGAATTTCTTTGTCCTGATGAAATACATGTCTTGTAGTTTATTCAAATTCAGGCAGTTTACCTCCAAAAGGGCCCCACTGTGGAAACGAAAAGGGACTCTATATTAATTCAGGCAGGAGTTTCTGCATACAGTGGAATAACAGCGTATGCAGATTTCAGTTGTGTGACTTCAACTTAGTCTGTAAGTATGTGGGTGTGTGTGGTGCGTGTGCAAGAGAAAGTAAAGAAAAAGAATTAAAGTAATGTGGCCTCCTGCTGCTATTACACTCAATGATGACTGACTCAGGTATTAGACGCAATCACACCTGAAATAGTCAAAGGCATCCTTGTTGAACATCATGGAAAGAAATATGAATGATTTTTTTTTAAAGGTTTCTTGATCATTGAAAAACAAAAGGTTAAAAGAAATGATAAAACAGTCTAAAGGGCTGTATATATAAAATCACATATATTGAGTGGGTAATTTAACAGATTTTCATAGGTAATTTGAATTGTGCTTAACTTTTTCATCAATAGCAGACTTTAAAATCAACCCTTTTCTCCACACTCCCTAATTTAACAGGCAATAGCAATGATTTAGGAATTGGATTCTGTCATTTCTCTAACCTCTTCCTTCCAAGTAAGGTCAGGCTTTCAGGAAATTAAGGAAGGGAGAATGTTGCCTATTGTGCAACCTGCGATTCCCTGGTGGTGCAAACTGTTAACGTGCTCCACTGTTACCAGAAAGTTGGAGGTTTGAGTCCACCCAGAGGTGCCTCAGAAGAAAGTCCTGGCTATCTACTTCTGAAAAATCAGCCATTGAAAACGCTGTGGAGCACAGTTGTACTTTGACACACATTTGGTTGCAGTGAGTTGGAATTGACTAGAAGGCAAATGGTTGATTGGTGTAACTAATATCAAAAGCTCTAAATTTTACACTTAAAAAAATTCTCACTAAAAAAAATCACAGGTTTTAGTTCCAGTAATGGTAGAATACTTATATCAGACTAAAAAAATCAGTGAGTTTAATGTCGTTGTTGTTAGGTGCCATTGAGTTGGTTTCAACTCATACCGACCCTATCCACAACAGAATGCAACACTGCTGGGTCCTGCACCGGCCTCACAATTTGCTACGCTTGAGCCCATTGTTGTAGCCACTGTGTAAATCCATCTCCTTGAGGGTCTTCCTCTTTTTCGCTGACCTTCTACTTTACCAAGCATGATGTCCTTCCCCGGGGACTGATCCCTCCTGATAACATGTCCAGAGTATGTGAGACGTAGTCTCGCCTTCCTTGCTTCTAAGGCGCATTCTGGTTGTACTTCTTCCAAGACACATTTGTTTCTTCTTTTGGCAGTCCATGGTATATTCAATATTCTTTGCCAGCACCACAGTTCAAAGGCGTCAATTTTTCTTCGGTCTTCCTTAATCATTGTCCCACTTTTGCATGCATATGAGGCAATTGAAAACACCATGGCTTGGGTCAGGCATACCTTAGTCCTCACGGCAGTATATTTGCTTTTCAACACTTTCAAGAGGTCTTTTGCAGCGGATTTACCCAGTGCAATCGTCTTTTGATTTCTTGACTGCTGCTTCCCTGGCTGTTGATTATGGATCCAAGTAAAATGAAATCCTTGACAACCTCAGTCTTTTCTCTGTTTATCATAATGTTGCTTACTGGTCCAGTTGTAAGGATTTTTGTTTTCTTTATGTTGAGGTGTAATGTAATCCATACTGATGGCTATGGTCTTTGATCTTCATCAGTAAGTGTTTCAAGTCCTCTTCACTTTCAGCAAGCAAGATTGTGTCATCTGCATAACAAAGGTTGTTAATGAGTCCTCCTCCAATCCTGATGCCTGGTTCTTCTTGTAGTCCAGTTTCTCGAATTATTTGCTCAGCATACAGACTGAATATGTATGGTGAAAGGATACAACCCTTACGCACAGCTTTCCTGACTTTAAACAACGTAGTATCCCCTTGTTTTGTTGGAAAGACTGCCACTTGATCCATGTACAGATTCTTCGTGAGCACAATTAAGTGTTCTGGAATTCCCATTGTTCTTAATGTTATCCATAATTTGTTATGATCCACACAGTCGAATGCCTTAGCATAGTCAATAAAACACAGGTAAACATCTTTCTGGTATTCTCTGCTTTTAGCCAGGATCCATTTGACATCAGCAATGGCTCCCAAATAGATATTGCCTAAGTCCTAAACTCTAGAACCTTCGGACGACCTTATGGAGAATAAAGGTTTTTGCGGATGTAATTAAAGACAGTGAGATGTAATCTTATCTTGAGATGAGATCATCCTGGGTTAGGGTGGATCCTGAATTCAATGACTGGTGCCCTTATAAGAGATAGAAAAGGAGAAGATACACAGAGACACAGAGGAGAAACATAGGGGAGAAGGCCATGTGAAGATACAGGCAGAGATTGGAGTTACGCAGCTATCAACCAAGGAATGCCAACAATTGCTGGAAGACACCAAAAGTTAGGAAAGAGATATGGAACAGATTTTCCCTCAGAGCCTCCAGAAGGAACCAAACTTGCTGAAATCTTGATTTTAGACTTCTGCCCTCTGGAACTGTGAGAAAATTAATCTCTGTTGTTTTAAGTCACCAAGTTTGTGGTAATTTATTTATAGCAACCCTAGGAAGCTAACATATGTAAGAAAGCAGCAATGGCTGTAATAATATTAGATAACGTGGTTTTTATGGCAAGCAGTATTACTAGAGATAAAGAGTAACATTTCATACTGATAAAACTTTCAATTCTCCAGGAAGCTATATCAATAATAAACCTACGTGTGCCTAACAAAAGAACTTTAAAACACATGAAGCAAAAATTGATAGAAACAGAGAAATAGAAATTCCACAATCATTATTGGAGATTTAACATTTCATCTCAATACTTAGTACAACAAATAAACAAAAAATCAAGAAGTTACAGAATCTGAACAACACTGTATACCACCTTGGAACTAATGGAGATTATAAAATACTACACCCACGAACTACAGAGTATACATTCTTTTCAAATGCATATGGAACATTCACCAAGATATATATAGTATGGTAGGCCACAACATAAGTCTCAATATTTCAAAATTTTGATAACTTACAAATTGTGCTCTTTGACCAAAATAAAATTAAACTAGAATGAACTAACAATACCATATAGAGAAAACCCAAAATATTTATAAATTAACACCTTTTTATATAACATATGGGTAAAAGGAGAAATACCAAGATGTATTAAAAAATATTTAAACTGAACGATAATGAAAATACAGCAAATCAAAATGTGTGGTCTACAGCAGTGCTTAAAGTAAGTAAGTATTAAGCATTAATTGCTTATACTAGAAATAGAAAGGTTTAAAATAAATGTATTAAGTTTCTGTCTTAAGAAAATAGAAAAAGACGAACAGATTGAACTCAGAGTAAATTGATGGAAAGAAATAATAAAGAAAGTACAGAGAGTAAATTAAACAGAAATAGACAAACAATGGAAAAATTAACAACATTAAAAGTGTTTCTTTGCAAAGATTAATAGATCTGATAACCCCTAACAAGACTGGTAAAGAAAATAAAGCAAACATATAAATTACCAATATCAGGAATGGAAGAAGTGATATCATTGTGTCAAGCAGACATTACAAGTATAGTAAAGAAATATAAAAGTTTATGCCAATAAATTTAACAACTTAGATGTAATGGAACATTTTCTTGTAAACACAAGTTAATAAAATTGACCCGGAAGAAATTAAATACCTAAATCGTTCTATTTCTTTCAAAGAATTTTAATTTAATTAGCAAAAAACTACCCCATAAAGAAAACTCTATGCCCAGATCGTTATATGTTGGTGAATACAATAAAATATTTAAGATGGAAATAGTACCAATATTATACAAATTCTTTCAGAAAATAGAGGTGAAGTGAACACTTTCCAACTTGTTTTATAAAGCCAGTAGTACCCTGGTACCAAAAGAAATTTCCAGACAGATATTCATTCCTCAAGAATATATATGCAAAGTTCCTCAAGAAAATATTACTACATTGATGTTACTACAACCTGGTGGGATGTATCCCAGGAAATCAAGCTAGGTTCAAAATTCAAAGCTCAATCAGTGTAATTCACCACATTGAAGAATAAAATACATAAATAATCTGATCAACTCAACTGATGCAGAAAAAGCACTTGAAAAAATTCCACATTCATTCATGATAAAAACAAACAAACAAACAAAAAACTCTCAGCAAAGAATAGAAGGAAACTTCCTCAATCTGATACAAGGCATCCACAAAAAAACCTATAGTAAATATTATACTTAATGATGAAGTTTTGAATACTTCCAATCTAAAAGCAACAAGGCAGGGATGTGTGTCACTCTCCACAGTCCTGCCAGTAATCTGACCTGGAGATCCAAAGTGGCGTGGTCAGCCACCATTTCAGTCGGGCACCGCTGTTTGTTTCCTACAGGCAACAGATTTGGTTGCTATGCAACAGGTATGCTGCCCTCATTTAGGTCTGAAATTACTGAACCTTGCAGAACCAGTTTGAAGCCCTGCTACAAAGCAATGGTAATCTCAATAGGAAAAATAGTAGGTTCAGAAAAAGATTTACACATCTGAGGTTACTTGATTTTAAGCACAGGTACCCAACTGATTTTAATGGGGAATAGAAAGTCTTTTAAGCAACTGAAAATAAACTGAGTAAATGTATGGAAAAAATGAGTCTTGATTATTCACAAAAATTAGAGATGGGTAACAGACCTAAACAGAAATCATTTAGAAGAACACAGGAAAATATCCTGCTGTCTTTGGGGGTAGGCAAAGACATCTTAGCAAGGACACAAAAGGCACTTAACATAAAAGAAAAAAATTGACACATTGGACTTCATCAAAATTAAAAATAAACTTTTATATATTAAAATACACCACTAAGAAAATGAAATGGCAAGCTACAGACTGGCAGAAAATAGTTGTAGTACATATAACTGACAAAAGAATTGTATCTAGAATATATGAGGAAATTATACCCATGAATAATAAAAGTGCAAACAACTCAATGAAAAATAGGCAAAAGGCTTTAACACAT